AATTCAGCATTATGGAGCCGCACAAAATCGACTGGGTGGGTGTCTTTCTTTTCTCTTACTGGAACCACAAGCGGAAACGACCTGAAGAGGCCAAAGTTGTCGACGGGTTTATACTGGAGTTCTTCAAGAAAAGTCGGCCGCCGATGTTGCTGGGCGCCAACTTTGAATCGGTCTCTTGGGGCGAAGCTCTGCTCGATCTTATGTGCCAGTTGAACGCCCAGTTCGGTAAGTATTCGCGTGAAGTATCACAGCTCCGATGGATATTCTGATCAAAGCCTACAGGATGTGCACCCTTTGTTCCACATGGAAACCGACACTCCCCTTGGCTGACAATCGACTTTTGCTCTTCTCTTCCTGGCAAGAGCCGGCCTTTTGTGAATTGGGTAGGCGTTGAAGCTTGCAGCCAGATTCTGGACGACGACGGTGACACCTCTCAAGCGATGGAGCAACTTCTTGAGCACATGACGTCTGTTTATGAGTTCCAAGGCATCAGCACTCCCAACCTCACTATAGCAGAATATTGGTCCGGCAATTTGCACCTCAAAGCGTTCGAGCGAAGACACGGTGTCCAGCCTTGGGGTGTCCCTGTTTCCTCTCCTATAGAGGGTCCACGCCGGCTGTCGTGGCTTGTCCACGATACGGAGGTAATCTGCAGCACACTGGAAGGGCCAGTTATTCGCCGAATTCCAATCGATTTCGAACTTTCGGTTCACTCAAGTGGTGCAGTGCAGTTGGACATGTATCATCGAGTCCCAAGCAGCGTCTGCCTCCTCGGTCTTTTCAAGCTACTCCACACGGTCATGCTTCGATGTGCAATGGACACGGGAGTGCCAAGACGTGATCTTTCGACTCTGGCAGGAAGGCTCATTAGCGAGCAAGAACGATGGTCCCATGGGCTGGTCACATCTGGAGGACATCTGATTGTAATGGAGGCGTGGTGGAGGGCTCTTCAAGACTTCAGTCTGGATAGAGTCAGACTCTTGGACACTGGTGTCACGCAAAAGCTCAGTTCAGGTTAGGCTCGTATAGAAGGCATACCTACATACTTGTTGTCGGTTAAAATTCGATTGGCACTGTCATTTTTATTTTGAGATATTCGTTTACTGAGGCCATCGCAGGAAAATGTTCATTGAATGACTGCTTACTCGGCCAGACCAGTAGTCTCAACTTTGATGTCATCACGCGTATGGTACACAATGCTCCTCCCTAATTTCTGAAGTTCACTCTGAATCTTCGTCCACCTCACAGAGATATGACAGTTTCTTCTGCTTCTTTGAAATCTTGCTGTACATATCAATAGCCGGCGCGTCCCTCTTCGCATGTGGTGTTAAAGGCAATAAAAGACGATTGGTGTGAACAGAAGCAAGCGGTTTCGGGGCAAGTGTCTCTTCTCCTAGATCTTGGAGCGCCTTCAAGGCATGCCAGAGTGCTCTAGACAGAGCAACCTGCCGGCCCGCAGCAAGATTAAGTGCATTTCGTCCACCTTGCATGTATGGTCTGATGCTGCACACTCGGCCTGAGACTCGTACCTCGCGAGCCCAACGGAGCATGCCTGTGAAGTAGTATCGCGCTTCGTTGACGGCGTTGCGGTCCAAGTCTCCGTTCCCGGTTGAGATGAGATGAGCAACGCCGAGGCTGTTGTCGAACACGATCCTGAAGGGCCAAGTTGATAGGATCTGATAGGTATTGTCCTCTGGTCTCTTCTGCAGAGGAACAGCCCAGGGCAAGGGAAGATTGTAGGTGGCTTGAAAGTTGACAAGGTGGGGGTTTCGAGACCAAGCTTCCGCCATCGTCACTTTCAATCCGGGTTGGACCGAGGATCGACCATAGGCGCGGCTCTCGAGGTATCCGAGAACCCACGAGGAGTTAGGCTCTGGCGCCATCTCGAAGCTTTCCATGTCCCAATCTGTGTCATTGAAGTCCATCCAATTCACGAAAGGTCTCTGCCTCGGCGACGGTGAGTGTTCGAGCCAAACGTATTTTCCTGCCTCCGATGGTTCGGAACCGAGACCTGAAGAGTTAGTGAGTCACGTTAAACCTTCTCAACGCTACTTGCCTCTGTCATAAACCGTAGCCCGCATGAGGTGCCACAAAAGATGGTCCCACGATCTCGGATGATCGATGGTGTTTATTGTAAGTCGCTCTCGGCTGACAAAATCAGACACGAAGTCGTTGTAGGTGCCGGGTTCATACGATTCATCTTCGTCTCTAGCGCAGACATCCCAGAAGAACCAGCAGAAAGCCTCCTTCCAGTCGATGTCATCAGCGTCGGTCATCTTGGCTGGTGGGCGTGTCTGTTCGTTGAGTGGTTGCTAAAGAAGGCTCGCGTTGATCTTGGGAGGAATTCGGTCAACTTAAGTACACATTTGTGTTGAACGAAATCATGAGAGAAATTATTAGAAGCAACTTAGAAAAGTTGTTGACAAAGTAAACCATAGGTAACATTAAAGCAGTAAGCAGAGGTTCTAAGGGCACGGTAATGACGACAACGAGTTTAGATGTACGTATAATACATTCCACCCAGAGGCTTTCAACCTCAGCTGCTGTCAATGAGGCTTTCGAGAGAGTATAAAAGTAGATGGTTTGCTCATATCTAAGGAGCTTGTCAATTCACAAGGAGCTTTGGCGACTGATGACAGCCTGAAGCTCAACATAGCGACAAAGCAACTACACAAGATTGACTGAATGAGTTCCTTCAAGAACACTTATCGCCGCAACTTTTAATCAGTATCAAATCTCTAATTCGAGTATCTTCTACTTGGTGCGAACAGCAAATCTGCTTCTTCCCCTGAGTTTCTTGCCATATTTGAAGAACAGCCACGGAAATGGCATCATGGCGACAGTCAAGAAAGCAAGAAGACTGGTTGCCCACTCGTAAACCAGCTTCTCATACATCTGAACACCAAAAAGTGGGAATGCAGCTGTGTTCAAGAATATTTAGCATTTATACTTGGGTCAGACTTGATAACGCAACTGAATGTCTACATACCTGCGACTGTACATCTTGTGAGGCCGTTTGAGGCCATCGCAGACGCGGCATACTGCTTGTAGGCATCGACCTTTTACATTTGATTAGTAACTATGTTGAAAACAGTGCACTTTTGAGAAATCATCCACTTACGAGAAAGGTGAAAATTCCGGTAAATTCGAGAACGGTTCTACAAAATCCAAGATGTCAGTTGAAAATTTGCATCGCCTGGTGATCGGAGCACAAACCCGCAGCCAAATACAGATGATCCGATAATTGGCACTATCCAGTGTACACCTGGCCGTGCCGTCCATCCATACCAGAAAAGACCTATTGGTATGAGTAATGCGCCAGCCATCGCTGGAGGTAGTCGAAACTCTGGCTCGCTCGTCCCATGGCTTTCCAGCAAGGAACCTCTGATTCTGGACCAGATTTGAGTCGTGGTGGCCGCCAAGCACATTCCAATGATGATGCCCGAGAATTTCAACCCGCCTTGCCAGAGATTGAAGTCGTACTGATTGCGGAATACCATGGGGAAGGCGAGAAAGAATAAGTACAAAATTCCGAGCAGGATGGCTGAGAAGATATTCAGGCAGAGACACATCGGCTCAAAGACAAGAAACTGGCAGGGGCGGACGATTGATGTTGCTACAGCTCTTGTCTTCGAAGCTGGCAGGGAATGTTCAGCCGGTACATGATAACGGTCGTCTCCAGTCTCCTTCCGGAGTCTTTGCGCCTTTGCTCGTAACAAGACCGAATGGTAAGTTTCCGGAGCAAAGAAGAGAATCATTACCAAGATAACTGTAGCCCATATGATCATTATGTAGTACGTCCATCTGAAGTTGAGATAGTAGTTGATGAAACCTCCAAGGAGGGGACCGGTGCAAGGGCCTGCAAAAGGGGCCAAAGATACAAGAGCCATCGGTGTCTGGATCTTGTGAGGAGGGAACATATCACCGCAGCTCCCCCCTGCAACTGAGAGAAACGTTCCGCCGAAAAAGCCGCTGAAGAATCGTGTGATAACAATCGTCTCGATGTTTCTGGCGACGGCTGACGGGATTGTCGATATGATGAACAGGAGCCATGTCGTAAGGTAGATTGGTCTTCTTCCGTAAGATTCGCTCAAAGGGCTGATGACTGCCGGCCCGAGACCGATTTCCAAAACGAAAGAAGAGAGGCCCAGGGTTGCTACCAAGGATGACACGCCAAATTCGGGGCTCATCTGGGTGTAGGTGGCCGTGTAAATCGAGCTGGTGCAGGTACTTGAGTGTGATGTCAGCAGCGAGAAACTCTGATTTTATTCAAATGTGCCGATGTGCTTACACGCAGACTGTTCCCAAGCAGACGATGATGACGACAAGCCATTTGCGAGATAGGGGCATGCTGTGCGGACACCAGGGGTCGCTTTCATCGTCGAAAGACATCACGAAAGAACTCGAGTCGGTTCTCTTGGCTGGTTCCGGGTCAAGTTCTGATGTCTTTGGTAACTTCGAGGTGTTTGGATTGTGTGGTTGCGTAGGAAGCTTTTCGCCCCCTTAATTGCCCTCAAGCCCCATACTTCCGTAGCTGTAACTGAGTTGAAGGTATCTGAGACTCCGTTGTGGTGAGAGTTATGTTTCAATTCCACAGAACGTCTGGCACCAATCAACCCTGACACAATCATCCAAGTAGAAAGGTTATTCGACAAGAACAGAAGAAAACGCCGATGCAGGGCGATTTTTACTATTAAAAGACTGGCAACTAGGTGACACTAGTCCTGGGTGATGTACGTCACAGAGTCTCCACTTATTGAGAGCCCGAGGTGACTTGGCGTGATCCCGGAGTCCCTAGGTCTTGCTTGCCATTAACTAGGTCGATAGTCGCCGAGGTCGGATCAACTCTGAATCGCGAGCTCTCCTGGCTATTGAAATACTTCCGAATAATTTTCATTGAAGCGCGCCGACTTATTTAGCAGCCGTCTCTGCGCTCATTCAACGAAGACTTGGTTGGTTTCAAGCACCTCGTACTTCCTTTTCGCAGAGACCGAAGAAGCATGGACCGTGTCACCCAAGACGATCGCGTCCAGTGGGCAATCTCACAGCGCCATGTATCCCAAAGAGGCGCTTACAACTTCGCTCATCGCCACATATGGGGACCGCGGGAGAAGTCTATGGCCAACCCATGGTCACCGAGTAATCCCGATGGAACGTGGGTAGCATCTCAAGGCGCCATGGTCTAGTCCAGTTAATAACGGGTGTAGAGTCATTTTGCGCCTACCTGAGAACAGCCTCATGCACCAGGAAGTTGCACAGTTTATCAAGGAAACCGTGAGAATCACTTGATCGTTTCTGTTCAGAAATCAAACTGACCATCGAGAGCAGATCAATGTGCTTCCCTTGGATCATTTGACTTACAGCACAGGACCACGGGGATCTTTGCACCTCCATCGCGTTCTTGCCACATTCATGAATAAGGAATTTCATCCTCGAGATTCAGTCACGGCCAATGATCTCTTTATAACGCCTGGGTTGGCCAGTGGCTTAGATGCAGTGGCATGGTCAGTTTGCGACGAAGGTGAGGGCATACTTGTTCCGCAACCGTTCTACAACGGCTTCAGCTTCGATCTTCTGAATCGAAGCAACACACGAGTCATCGGCGTCTCTTATCAGGGCATGGAAGGATGCTCAAACCTTGAGGATATTTTCCGACCTGAAGTGAACAGATTGGCTTTTGAGGCGGCTCTGAACAAGGCTCGTGGGGAAGGTGTGAACGTCCGCGCATTGCTAATCTCAAAGTAAGTTGTCCACTTCTGGAGGGAATCAGTGGCGATACAGATCATGGCTTATCCTTTTTTCATCAAGCCCACATAATCCTCTGGGTAGATTCTATCCTTCAGAAACACTACGGGAGTTCGCTTCTTTCTGTGGTAGAAATCGGCTACACTTCATTTCTGACGAGATCTACGCCAAATCTGTCTTCCCGAATCCAGCAATCTCAGGTCAAGCTTCATTTGTTTCTGTCCTTTCACTCGACCTTCACAATGTCATCGATGCAAACTTACTGCACGTCCTATACGGCGCAAGCAAAGACTTTTGCGCCAATGGCCTACGTCTGGGCATGGTGTACACGAAGAATGAGGCTATGCTAGGGGCGATGTCGAGCATTAGGTTGGTTCACTCGTCTGCGATTGACCTACGATTCTAACACAACGTTGCTAGTATGTTTTCTTGGTCACCTCATGTTCTTCAAGACGTCTGGGCGTGCATGATGAATGATCAAATATGGATGGAATCCTTCATGGAAAAGAAGACAGACCTCATGGTGGAAAACTACCGTGTGGCCACCTCCTTCTTTCGGGAGCACAACGTCAGCTACTTCGAAATGTAGGCAAATTTTCCAACAATTTATCGAATGAAAGTCGTGACAGTCGTGTATGCTAACATTTGTTTAGGAACGCTGGGCTCTTCATCTGGGTTGATCTTCGCCACCTGTTCAACCCATTGACTTTAGACGGAAATCTTAGAATTCAGTCTGAAATTTGCATAGCTCATTAGCAGCGTGAGCTTCAAATAACAGATCTATGCGCGAGACACGGTGTCATGATTGCACCAGGCAGCGTTTACATGCCAGAGGAATTTGGCTGGTTTAGAGTGACCTTCAGCCTGGGAAAGGAAGCACTAGAAGAAGGGTTGAAGCGGTTTGCCAGAGCTATTGCCGAAATGAGAATCTAAACCATAGATAGACACTAGTCTCAGAATTTATGGGAAAGTATTTTGTATCTTTTCAGTGCCTGATGGGACTTACTCATTTGAGATGGGCGGACTGTCACGTGGTGTGTTTTCAAAAAGCCTCGGCTTCTTACGGCGCACTTACTCCGCACCTAAGCTCTCTTCGGCCTCTTACCAAGTCGCCGGCTTACTTTCACTCCTGGAGCTGCAAAATACCTCGCCTTCTTGCGCCTTGATGAGGCAACAATGGTTGACGATTCCCGCAAAACACCAGACAACCCAGCCCCAGTGAGTCCGAGTCGACCCGTTGTCAATCGCATCAGAGTCGCCTGCAAGGCCTGTAACGCTAGACGGGTCAAGTGCGATGCCGATCAAGGACAGCCATGCTGGCAATGCCGTACGCGACAAATACGTTGCGAACTTATTGAGTCCAAAAGGGGCAAGTAAGTTTTGATTGCTGAGTGTCGCGTTAGTTTGTCTTACGATGAATCAGATATGTTCGCAAGAGACGAGTTCGTCCATCCGCTCAGGTAGCCAGCGAGACTTCATCGCCCCATGTCGAACAACGGCTTGCTCCATCTGATACAGAAGATACATTTGATCATGGCCGGGGCGTTGAGGAGGTCGATGGGTCACATGCATCATCCCATCAGGAGACATCACAAGATGTCAACCCAGCTCTTTCGCCGTTCAACTCTCGCGATGCACAAGGAACTCGGGCTTCAATACCACAACAACTTCAACCAAACTCAAATGCGAATGGTTCTGTGGATAAGTCTAGTCTATCCTACATTGTGGAAGTCGTTCACCGACCCAAAGACGGCTTAACAGAGCCGCTGAGGGTACACTACCCCATACCTGCATCGATTGTCGATCAATCGACGTCCAACTTCGGCCCCAAGACACCAGAGGATTCGATCTCTTTGCAAGAAGCTCTTGTTATGCCGCCTCCTGAGGTGGCAGATCAACTAGTCCGCATCTTTTTCGATACCACACACATTGCCTTCCCTGTCTTTGACCGACATAGGTTCACGCGGCTGTACCTCCAAGGCCAGGCTTCTCCGCTTGTGTTGCAGACGATCTTCCTTCTAGGCTTCATGGTCGGCAGCGATGACCTCATTCAAGCAGGAGGCTTCAATGACAGAGCCACGGCTAGAAAGACATGTTATCTCCGCGCCAAGGCATTATATGACGCCGATTACGATGCCGACCGAATGAATGTTGTGGCTTGCTTGCTTTTGATCGGCTTTTGGTGGGCTGGTTACGACGAGCAGAAGGATCACTGTCATTGGGTTGGCTGTGCGACGACCTTTGCGCAGTCCATGGGCATGCATCGCTCGTGAGATACCCGCTTCTGCTTTCGAAATTTCTGCTGACTTCAATATAGGATGTCACAGTCTACGTTCAGCCCTCATACAAAGTCTCTTAGGAAGAGAATCTGGTGGGCGATCTACGTAAGTATATGATTGCCCACATTGTCCTTCCGTGCTAACAAACTCAGACTCGTGAGCGGCATCTCTCTGCAGCGTTCGGCCGGCCATGTCGTATCCGTGACGAAAATTGCGACGTTGAGCCCCTAGATGAGGATGACTTCAACTTTGATCTGGATCACGACCACAGACTCATTCCCGCTCAACAACGATATCATATATCCTATGTTCTTGAGATGACGAGGTTGGCAGCAATACGTGAGCAGGCTACACTTTCAGACACTGTTTGTAATCATTCTGACGCCTCAATACAGTTGGCGACGTGCTCGTTTCAGAATTTAGTCCCCGCCGGCCCATGACAGAGCAGTTCGAGACGCAAACTCTCAAAGACAAACTGTTTGGATGGGAACGGAAACTACCAGAGAACCTTCAGATGTTGCCCTTGGACGGCACTCTCGGTGCCCCCTTTTGAGCCAGCATGCTGCATTTCAACTATCAGTGAGTGAACCCCCACACCAGATATTTATGCGTGATTTGCTTATGCAATACCCAGATACTGCCAAATACTTCTGTTTCGCCCGAAGTCCATCGAGATAGTCTCCCAGGAAGAGAAGGAACGAGACTCACGAGCACGCATGGCAGCAGACGGCATCACTCGCAATGCAGAAGACCAACTTTCTGCAGACACCATTAGATATGCACAAATCCATCTGTAAGCACCTCGATTCCTCGTTGAGAGCCATACTCACCCCACTACAGTGTGCCGGCTTTGTTCGGCGCCCTGTCCATGCACACCATCGAAATCTGCCGCAAGGACTCCATTCGCCGACAGCTTGCGGAGAACAAGTCGCGCCAATGTCTTTTGGCGTTGGGCGAATTATCAAAGTCCTGGCCAGTAAGGATCTGGATCTCGAAATCGTTCGTCAGTCTGATGACGAGATTGACTGGCCAAGATTCAGCCCCTTCTGGCGGTGCTATTGTCAGAGTATCCACAAGCATTGTGAGTAACTAACTATCTCAACAATGGATCGGACTGGGACTGACATTTACTGACATGATGCGCAGCACCCTGCAAGCCCAGATGGTCAGTCTCCTCACGAGACTGTTTATGACAACCAGTCCGCTTCTGGTGTTGGAGATGGACACCAGGACACGACATCAACGCTCAACAACGGCTCAGAAACTCAGAATTTTGACCCTTATGACGTCCCTCAAGCAAACCCTCATCTCTTCTACGACAGCTTTTGGACTTCGTACCTCGACAATGCCTTTGACGTGGACTTACTCATCCATCCTAATTCGGGTCTTTTTTGAGCTGCAGGGCTTTTGTTTCGACTACCTTCTGTATGATGAGAGTATTGGATTATTTTGCTACTACTAACACCTAATATCGGACGTTCAAATGAAACGGTTTGCCTCCGTAAGGTATCCTGTGTCAACTTTGTTGTCTCCGGTTCAACATGCGCCACACTGTACTTCGCGAAACCGTGCTTGAATCCACCCACAACACTGAGTTGGTCGATTCAAAATATCACGTCAACCCTCCAGACATATACGGAGGTGGGCTGTAGTCCGAGTCATCAGTAGACGACAATCGTCTCTTCCGCCTCAAGGTACTCTCATATTCGGCTGGCAATTCCAGATCATAGGTAGGTCGTTGGGAAGCCTGCCGTTGCGGTTGCCTTCTTTTCGATCCATTTCCCTCACTGTTCAATGATTCTGAGGAGTATGAGGAGCTCGAAGCCCTCACAGGTGCAAATCTCCTAGTCTCTTGTGGAGGAACCCGTCGTATGTCCTTGGCAGATCGACTGCTTGTCCTTGATGCGTTGATTGGTTGAAATCCAGAGACCACTGTAGATCTCTGCATATCGATAACTTCAGCAGGCGTTCCTCTCACATCCTTTTGGGTTCCCGTGCCCGTTCGGATTTTCTTGAGTGGTGATGCAGTTGCAGCCTTCTCCGGATGCTGTGATATAAACCGTTCCAGCTTATCGTCAAATGCCGGTCCTTCACCTGCTGGTGACTGAGGTCGCATCGGTCGTTTTCCTTCTGCTTTATCAGATAATTCCGTTGTAGGCAACGGTTCACTTGGATGTGCAACAGTCGATGATGATTGGGTACGTGGCGGTTGAGTTGATGGCAGTGGCTGGCTCTGCGGAGATCGGTGTGGTGACAACTTGACCAAATGTTTCTGCGTCTGTGGTGGAGGGTACACCAGTCTTTTCTCTTCTGATTTTGCTGGCAGCTTCGTGTCAGGTCGTGTTGGGTAACCCGTGGGAGATTGAAATGTGTCCGACCGGGTCATCGCCTTTTGCATCTCAACTGGATGATTAAATGCAGTGATGGCCTGCCACAGCGCATGGTTTACCGCCATTGTGTCATCAGCAACCTCCTTTTTGTCGAGCAGTGACTTGAGAGAGAGGTAAAGTCTCGCCCCTGGGCTGCCATTTAGCATTGCCAGCGCCCAATGTAGCAGGTATGTGTAAAACAGCTTGCACCAGTTGAGGGTGCAGCGGTTGATGGCAATCTCGGTGTCGGTCACCAGAGCAGCGTATCCTTGTTTCGTTGCGAAAGTGGAGTCAAAGTCAATGGAGTTTGTCCCAGACACTCGCTCTTTGAATTCTCGAAAGAAATCGTCAATTCCGTCCGTTTCGTCATGTTCCAACACGAATTCAGCCATCAATGGCACCCTCCATGGTCCCTCGAGGCTTTGGCTGTTTTCAAAGTCGACGAGATACGGGTTGCCATACCAGGCATCGTCGGTCGTTGTATACAGGCGCGACTCCAGCGGCCCATAGGCGACAGTCTCCAGATGGTTCAAAATACTGCGGCCAACTTCTCCAGGATTTGTAAAGAGCCGTTCGAGGCTGATCCAGTCAACAAATGGCTTTACAGATGCGTTGGACGTTCTCGGACCATTGATCCATTTGTACTCGTTGTCGGGATTCCACGAAACATTTGATCCTGTGACAAGCCCGTTAATCAGCAAACAAACAGGTCAGGGGAGGGCCGCAGAATCCATTACCAGTCAGGCGCCGCAAGAATCGCAGGAGAAAATGCAAGACGTAGTCCCATGAACTTGGGAGAGCGGCAATGTTCGAGGACTTGTAATTTGTGCGCAGCGCTCGTCTGATTTCTGCGTTGATGGCCTTCATGTCTTCCTCACAGCGACATATCTCCATATCCAAGTAGAAGAAGAGGAACGCTTCCTTCCAGTTGATTCTCCTTGGACCAAACACATCTCCATACTCTCGGTGATCTGAAACTTGGGTTTGTAGTGCACAAGGCGGGCTGTGAGTCGGACTACTTGCTCCGAGTGACGCACTACGGGACATGTCTATCTCCTTCGATCAATGTTATATCATCAAGTCTTACAACAGTCACAGTGGTTGCCCTTCTTTTGTCCGTACCGATAGCACTCAAGGTTCTCAACGTTCCTGGCAGACCAGATTGACTTCCCAGACGGCGCCACGGCGTCCAGTTTCGAAATGTTTGGCTTCTCCACAGTTTGACAGGACGAGATCTGTAAAATAAACATGATTCTAGGGATTGATCAGCTTTAAATCTTACGACTGTACTGTTTGACAGGCGTCTTCTGTTTGTTATTTCGGGGTGTCTTGAACAAAGAACTGAATGGGCTGCACTTGACCGTGCCTACCCGTCGAAACAACACAATTCCTGCTGAGCCGTGCAAACAGGTAAGAGCATTGACGTAAAACACGTCATTTCGCACGGTGGGTCGTACAAGAGTTAAAATTACACCAAACTTCCTTTGATATGTCAAAATTAAACGTCTGAAAACATCTAGAGTTTTCCACAGCCGTCGTACTGTGTGATACCAATTGCCTCTGTTCACTTAGGCGGAAGAGTTAACAGCTTTCTAGAAGTATAGAATAATAAAATATTTAGTAGCATGTTTGCCCCTACTTTGTATGTTTGCTGTGTAATAGCAGTATATCTACTATTGAATCTTTGAGAACTTTGCTCCCTAGGTGGATTTGACATCTAGCTTTTCAGTTAGATGCTGATAATAGCAGTGATCAGAAGAGTTACATAGGTCATAATAACAATTAGGATAACAATAGGTACAGTCACAGGGATGATAATAGGTATACTTAGAATAATAAAGAACATAAAGGCTGACGTATTTCGCCCCTCCCTTAGCTAGAAAAGTCTAGCTACTATTTCACAGCATAACACCCATGCTATAAGGAGCTCTCAGATAACATATAATTAAAAGTTACTTATAAAACTTAGATTTAGGTAGTACAGATTACGCAAACCTCAGAGATTTGTTTCAGAACTTTGCCACTGTGTTGTTATATGGTTCGTTACACCTATGCTGCCTTGAGTAAGGTAGCATTGACAACCCTTTTCATTCCCCGGCTTCATGACATCAAGAACTCATCTCGAAATCTCCATCAGCATGAGGACATAAGCCCTGTGCGTTGTTGTCTGCGTGGTATGTGTCTGAGTTGGAGATGCAGATCCCTTGTCTGCCATGGACCATGTACGGCGTTGAAAGACAGCTGAGACTAGCAACTTAGGATTGATCATCCTCGAACGATTTAGTCAATCCAAGAAGTTACGAGAAGGAAACTTCCATCCGCACGGGATTTTCTCAACGATGGGAGAGCATGAGTGCCTGGGCTCTAAGTTCTGTATATCTTGGCTCCTGGTCTCCTGTGATCATCTTTGTTCAATAACCCAGGACAGCACTTCATTTGCATAAATCCACAGATCAACAAGAACAACAGACACTCTACCAACGATCCAACTATGCACGACTCACGCTTCGCGCCGGAGCAGTCTAAACCACCGCAGAGCCTAGCTCTCAAGGCTTTGTTCATCACCACTCTCGTCGCTCTTCTCATCGCTGTATTACTGATGTACCTCATTGATCACTTGAGCCGGCGATGCGTCTGGGTTCGCCGTCGTTTGGAAAGGTTTTGCGACTCGCAGTGCGAAGACTGGACCAACAAACTCCCTCTTGGTCGAAGCGATGCATTCTCCTTCCTCTTTCACGACTTGCTTACCATGTCAACCGAGTCAAAGCAAAGACTGTTGGACATTCTCCAGGCTGCTGAGCTGGAGCAGGAGGGCTTTCATGGTAGCATGTTCCCTGACGAGTGGCTAGAGTTTCTCCCTTGGCGCATTGTGCAGGCTTTACATCCTGCTGTCTGTAAGTTGAAGCCCTATCACAGCGACGCGGTGCGTTGGTTTGACTGATCAAATGCATATTCATACAGCCATGAGCTTGTCGGACCTACCTGCGAACAACAGTGGTGACCAAGGCCCAGAGGTCATCTACGGCAGCAAGGCATGGTTCCAGACCCCGCATGACGGCCGAATCCTGCCAAAGATCGTTCATCACCCAGACATTGTCACAACCACAGGGGGTTCACGTAACTCACGACGGCTAGAGAAAGACGCTTGCCTCGACAACATACTCACCGTCCTAAAGGAGCCCCTCATCCGGGACATGAGAGCGGCTCATCGAGTCACGCCCACAGAGGACTTGACCTTCTCCTGGGAATTCATGTTCGCCATTCGATGGGCCTGGACCGACAACTCCTACCTCGTGGACTTCCAAACCCGCTATGAGGTGCCCATCTGGGGGGTGCCTGTGCCGCAACGCTTGCTGACCGCCGGCACGGACACGGGTGCGGGTCCACGTCGGCGGGTATTCAAACCCCACTTCGGCTTTGTGGGGTTCTGGGCTGGCGCTTTCCAGATCGCCGTGGATTCCGCGGCGAGAGCGGCGCGAGTCGAGTTGGACGAGGACTTGGACATGCCGGCGCCGAAGGATTTGGAGAAGGTGATCAATGGCTTTCGGATGCTGCACACGGCTCTCCTCTCCAATTTTGCGGCCGCGTTTGATGAAAACCGCGATGCGGCTTTTTCTCTGGAGGAAGTTGTGCAGCAGGCTTTTCACGACGCTGTGACGAGTGAATATACTCATGAAATGGACCGAGAGGTCGAGGAGCACTGGAGGGCACTCGCGAAGTGGCGGCCTTCGGGTTTTGGTTCTTCAAGTTTACGGGTCAGATATCTTAATGACAGAGATGATTTGTGATGGTCGGAGTTGGGTCCGTAGCATAGACAGCAAGACATCCAGAACCTAGAGTTGGTTCTCTTTCTTTTCGGAATGATTATTGAACGACGCTCGCCATAAAATGATCGTGCCCCATCGCAACGCGGCGCTTATCGGCCTGCCGTCGGTGATCGACCAGGGGGCCAAGGGAGGTCAAGCTCCGAACATCGACCCTTGGCATAACGGGTCCGTGGCGATCTCTTCGGCCAACGTCCATGGCCATCGCGATTCGCGAATCGCAGGATGCAGCAGCGCAGCGCTTGCCTGCAGCACACGCACTGGTTGACTGGGAAGAAATTTTCACCGCCCCTCGTGACTGTGAACAATCGTCGTCGGCGTTATCACGGCGGCATTCGCCTTTATTTTATCGACGCCACGGATTGCCTCTTTCTGCCTCCCCGTGGGATGCGCAAGCGGTATGGACGTGTGATTGGTCGTGGAGACGGATTAGGAAGGGCGGAAATACGTCCAACCTCCGCACGTGGAGTTCTCCAGGTACCAGAGGAGAAAACAAACGAGTGGATGTGTGGTGGTACGTCATTACATAATCCTCCACATTGAGGTTGAGAAATTCAGGGCTTTGGGAGCGCTTCATTGGCCATCTTCATGCGTATCTGATCTTGCGGCTGGCGCAATCTCGAGATTGACCAGAGGGGCGAGTAACGTTGGATTGAACGACAGATGGCCGTATCGTACGGGACCTCCACAACGGTGGGATGCCGACGGGTAAACGCCGATGAAGAAAGCACCCTTTGTGGCCGGAGACTCCTGTGCGGCGTTCACGTGAGGATCTTGGAGATGGAGGCTCCGAAGAAGTGGGGAGGGGGGCGGTAGACTTCATGAGCTGGTGGTGCTGTGCGTCTTTCGTTTCATCGACAGTCGGGCCGTCAAGGGAGGATTCGGATGGCCAACCTGTGTGGTGATGCGGCTGGATGGGCTTGGCTTCCCAGGTTCTGGTTCTAGATGGGACGAGGGGGGGCGTTGGATGGAGGGCTGCTGCGGCTGCGGGAGTGGCTGGCTGTTGATCGACCTCGATGTCCCGGCACACCCTGAGCGATTGTTTCTTGCAGATTGCTTGCGCCCATGATTGCTGAGTCAGAATAATTTCACAAGAGGGAATCCCATCTCACGCCTGTCGGGATTTTAGCTACCGTCAAACAGAGACTCTTATTGTTGCGGGGAGAAGTTGGGGATGGGATGTAGAGCGAAGGATAGGTACTCACTAACTACGCAGTACAGTAGTTCGGACTCCCCGGACGAAGGACGTCATAGTCAGAGCCGTTCGCGCTCCGCATGCCGCCTTGCCCTGTTCGGCAGTCCGACTGGCTGGATGATGAAAAAGAATATGGAGACCGCAGGACCTTTTGGTGTTTGTAACCTAGGTACCTTAGCGGGCTGGCCAGGCGGCGGGAGGTGGGAATAAGCAAGACAAAAGGTTTACGGCCATGGCTCGTCATCGCCCTCGTTCAGGGAACGCACAACGACCCGCTTCCCTGTCGCGACCAATGGCATGCGCCGGAAGCGGTGCCAGGCACGGCGGACTGCTAAGCCGCCACTAGAGCCGCCTCCCTGCGCCCTCCTGGAAACAAGCTTTGCAGGCCGCTTTGCCAAGCTGGCTGCCGCTCTGCCGCAACTTGGCAAAGCCGCGACAGGGCGAGAGACACCACCACACTCATCACACATTTTATATCCGACCAACGCTTCTTTGCGGCTGTCAACGTCAACGATGGAATGACAGCAACGCAGAGGCAGCGCGATCACGCACTAGAGCAGCGCGTGTGTCTCATCCTCCGCAAACGCTCTGACCCTCCTCCGGACTTGCTCCTCGCATCCACCGCCTGTGGACCATGCTGTCCCGATTTTATTCCCAGACAAATGGGCGGCCAGTCGAACGTTCGGGCGAGGACGAACGGCACTAGTTGCTTTACCTCAACCCGCGCTGCATCTCAAAGTGGGACGTGCTGCGCTAGAGGTTGCCTGTTTCGCGCCACCGTCCTCTGCCGGTGATGTCACGGGTGGGTGTCTGCGCTCTGGGGGACTGGGGGACTGGGGAGATGGCTCGACCGCCTGGAGAATGCGGCCAGCCGCGCAGCCTCTTCCTCGGCCTCCGTCCGAAAATCTGGTTCTGCGGACTGAGCCTAACGTATGGACGGTTAAGCCTTATATGTCCTCGGTCTCCCAAGGTTGGCTACCAGGCGTCTCCGAAAGTCACCTGTGCTACTATATTACATGTGGAAACCATCGTGATCGGAGGAGTTTCTACCTTCCTTCTTTCTTCACCTCTCGATCTCCTTGAAAATAGGAGACTTCACCGAAACAATTAATATTTTCATCCGCGCATGAGAACAGCCCAACATGTCTAACGCACGCTTCGTCGACGAGCCGCCTCAGGTTATCAACCAGGCGGACCTCGACCTAGCCAACGAGAAGCTCGAGTCCCGCGATGAGAGCTCCGCGAACGGCAATACTTCCAGCGAAGATGCTGTCAAGAAAGAAGTCGACAACACGCCCGGCGCCACCCACGGCGAGCACCGGTCCAACGGCAATGGCGCCAAGCTCGAGAGACTCGGCACCAACGATAAGTACGAAATCACCGAGGACGACTGCTACGACGAGCTCGGCTACTCGTTTCCCAAGTGGAAGAAGTGGACCATCCTGACCGTCATCTTCTGGGTTCAGGTGTCCATGAACTTCAACACCTCGCTTTACTCCAACGCCATCCCGGGTATCCAGGAGGAATTTGGCGTCAGCGCTCAAGCCGCCCGCTGCGGTGCCATGATCTTCTTGGTTTTGTACGCCTTCGGCTGCGAATTGTGGGCGCCGTGGTCCGAAGAGTTCGGTCGCTGGCCGATCCTCCAGCTCTCCCTGTTGTTCGTCAACATCTGGCAGATCCCGGTCGCTTTGGCCCCGAACTTCGCTACCATTTTGGTCGGTCGTGCGCTCGGCGGTCTCTCGTCTGCTGGTGGCTCCGTCACCCTGGGCATGATTGCCGACCTGTTCGAGTCCGATAAGCAGCAGTACGCCGTCGCCTACGTCGTCTTCTCTTCCGTCTTTGGCTCCGTCCTCGGCCCCATCGTCGGCGGTTTCACGGAGGAGTACCTCAACTGGAGATGGTCCATCTGGGTCCAGCTCATTTTCGGTGTCGCCATTCAGCTGATTCACGCCTTCACCGTCCCCGAGACCCGCAGCACCATCCTGATGAACCGCATCGCCAAGAAGCGCAGGGCTGCCGGCCACCCCAACATCTGGGGCCCCGACGAGCTTGTCCCCTTCGCCGACCGCTTTTCCATGAAGGAAGTCATCTCCACCTGGGTCCGTCCCTTCAAGATGTTTGTCACCGAGCCAATCGTCCTGGTTCTGTCACTCCTCTCCGGCTTCTCTGACGCCCTTATCTTCATGTTCATCCAATCTTTCGCCCTGGTTTACAAGCAGTGGAACTTCACCACCGTCGATATTGGCCTGGCCTTCATTCCCATCGGCATTGGATACGTCATCGCCTGGCTGGCCTTCATCCCCGCCATCAAGCGCAACATCAAGGAACGTAAGGCCAAGCCTCAAGATGACCGCGCTCAGTACGAGTCTCGCCTATGGTTCCTTTTATATACCGCACCCTGCCTTCCCATCGGTCTGATCGGTTTTGCATGGACTATCCAGGGTCCTCCCATTCACTGGATCGGCTCCATGGTTTTCGCTGCCATTGTGGGTATTGCTAACTACGCCATATACATGGCCACCATCGACTACATGATCTGCGCCTACGGACCCTACTCCGCATCAGCCACCGGTGGAAATGGATTTGCCAGAGATTTCCTAGCTGGAATTTTAACGCTCGCGGCAGAGCCTTTCTTCCTAAGGATAAACCCAGCCAGTGGGAAGAATCTCGAATACGCCTGCACCATCCTCTTCTGCATCGCCTTTGTGTTGGTCGCCGCCGTCTTCGTCATCTATTGGAAGGGACCTGCGCTGCGCGCTCGTTCGCCCTTCGCCATGAAGCTCGCCGACGCCAAGGATGATGCTGGCGGTCGTCGCCCGAGTCACGTCGAGGGTGGTGCGGACACCAGCACGGCAAACACTGGTGATAATGCTCCCGACCGTCCCCCGTACGTCCGCCAGAGGAGCCAGAACTCGAGATTCTTCGGCGAGAGCAGAGTCACCCCCCGCGGCACTCCCAGAGGTACCCCCTCCGCAAGCAGAGCCAACAGCCGTGCCAACAGTCGTGCCAACAGCCCTTCCAGGCGCAAGTAATGGGTTCATAAGAGAGCACTTCTCGATCACTCATGGGTTGAGAACATAGATGCGTGGCGTTGATTTCATGACCTGATACCCCTTGGCAGTTGACTATGATCTAGATCTAGTCTATTAGTCTTAATAATGAACGTTTTACCAACGAATGGTTACATCTCACCACTGTGATGAACTGTATACTGTCGTCCGCAGACAATTCGAGAGGTTGAGCAATAAGCATCGTCGTTCTAGTCGTCTTCATCCTTGTCGTCGTCCTTGTCGTCGTCCTTGTCCTCGACGCTGTCGTCGTTGTTGTCCGTCATTTTCGTCTCTCGCTGTCGTCTCGCGTCGTTTTCCATCGTCGTTTCTCATCGTCGTCTTCCATCGTCTTCTTCCGCTGTCGTCTTCCATTGCCATCGCCTCTTCATGCGTTGGATTGATGTAGGCATCGGGATAGGCGTGGTTATCTTTGGGTCGCATGGCCTTGAGGGTGTCGATGATTTTGAGGAACAGGAGCATGACCTAGATTCGAGAGGGCAAGAGCTCCTTCACGTTGCTACCTTAGGTACTCTTAGGAAGGCATTACTCGAGCGTCCTGCCCTACGGCAAGCGCCTGCAGTATTTTCTCATTTGCTCCTTCCCTTACCTCCCTACCTCCCCTTAGCCGCCTGAAACAGGTAATTCCTCGCCTCCACAATTGCAGACTTGACATCCCTCTCTTCACCTTTTGACTATCCACATACTTTGCAGACATCACTCTGTCGATCACCACGTCAAAGTTACCCCCAAACGACTAGCACAGTATGGCGACAGGGCAGCTATCCGTCCTTCCACCAGAGATCCGAGCCATGGTCTGGAAGTTTTCGCTTCCTGATGACGTGCCTGAGGTCTGCGTCTTCCAGAAGCCCTCGATATTTGCCACGTCGGTATTTTCTACCTTGGTGGTCGATACTGCTTTTCCGGCCTTGGTACATGTGTGTCGCGAAACACGTTACTTCGTCTTCAACACCAAAATCAGTGGTATCCCGTTTCGTTACTCCGACCTCGCTGGCTGCGACACGCCCTATCGACCCTTCCGAAACGAACTTGATACGTTGCTCAACGCACATGGTTCTGGTGTCAACCACATTCCAACTGATGTCGACTCCACGGTAGAGACGATGGCTTCAGCTCACAATGTCGATGATATAGACGCCATGAGAGAGGTGTCAGAGCTGTCTTACATAGTTAGAAGCTTTCCAGATTTGGAGCATCTGGCAGTGCGAGTACCGGCAAGGCGCATGCACATCCTCCAAATCTTTATACGGGAAATATTGCACCACTTCTTGCCTCGACTGAAGACTGTTACGTTCGTCACTGTGCAAGCCACTAGTAATGTTCAAGTCACTGGTACTGTTCAAGCCACTGGTACTGTGCAAGCCACTGGTACTGTGCAAGCCACTGGTGCTGGTGGTCCACTGCTACTCCCAGACTTCCAGCCGCCCGAGGGCAGGTGCAAACTGCATCGATTCTCTACGAAAGAGATGGAGCACCTTGCAATCAAGACACGCCAAGATGACATCCAGAACATGGATGATTTGATTGCCAGCGTAATATTGGGCTCTATGAAACTTCGAGCGTTCGTCGATGCCACCAAAGCAAAGTACCAATTGTCACTGGCGTAAGTCACAAGCGTCTTACTCGGACCCTGGGCGCACTATACTCACTCTAGTTTTTACCATTTCCTTCGTTTCGGTGGCTGACTCTTGGAATACATTCAGCAAAAAGATAGAAATCGAAAAAAACATGGACTCTACGAACGGAGAGAAAATCTTCCAGGATATCCTAGAACGGGCCATCGACTTCCAAGCGCATACCTTCATCGAGTATCAAAACGGCTTATGGAACCGAGCCACCGCACGTCCATCTGAACAGATTACTCATATTTCCTGTTTACTGCTCGACCACCGCCATATCTACCCCGAAGCTTTTGTCTACAGAGACGGCGCGTATGTTGCGAAGCGGGAAATCCCAGTCTTGTGCGCAGCGGAAGGGCAAATGAGATTCGAGAAACTGCATCAGGAATTTGTTAAACTGGGACTTATCCAAGAAGATGCACAAGTGGACGACGAAGATGAGGGGGGCGATGGGGATGACGAATATGACGACGGTCACAACGATGCTTGAAGACGACGAAGCCTGAGGACGACAAAACCTGAGGACGATGAAGTTTAGAGACGCAGATGAAGAGAGAAGCAACGTTGATTGGAACCCAATCAAGACAGCTGAAATACGGGACGTGCTGAGCTTGTATTCCGCGGAGATGGCCTTTTGGAATGGGGTCTGTCGAACAGATTAGTGAACATAGGTGGTTGCGATTACGGAGTTAAGGTATGAGATTGCATTAACGGCGGTGTAATGGAAATACCAGCTAGCTGAACCTTCGCGAGTAACTCCTGCGACGTTGCAGTGATTGGCGTGTTCCTTGTTATGATGCCAGGTTATCCTTTCCAGAGCTATGTCCTGTGCTTTACACTGGTCGTCAATTGGATGATGTTCCAGTCAATTATGTGAAACGGCTTTTGACAGGTCTTGGCCCTCCTACCTACACGCAATTACGTCCCAAGTTTGTACGTGAAATAGTATTTGTCCATGGAATGCCACTCAGACACCTACATTCTAGACAAGCATAGAGCTTAGACGATCGATGATAGAGACGACGACATAGGCCACTAGACCCAGATATGTCCAAATAACAGCTGTCGGCCTGGACTTCAGCCGCCAGCCTCAATTTGGAGGGTAGTGGGTGATTGTTTAAAACCACCTTATATTATCTGCTCATGTATACACTTATATCGCGAGTCTATTGCGTCGTCGACCGCCTGTCGTCGCTGCACAGCCTCTATACCCTCAAGAGTATACCTTGCTGCCTGTGTCTTAAGATTGCCTCTTTCGGTTGCTGAGGGCAAGCGTGTCTTAGACTTTGCCTAACGGTATTACCGTTGTAAATCTCTGGGCGGGCATGATCTCCTCTCTTTAGAGTTGCGCCGTCTCAGGCATTGAACAAGTCGCAACGTGCTCATTGCGTGCGTGGGTTGTGGGTAAAACGGCTCTGCATTAGTGCTGTGCGAGATGCGACCTCGGAGGGGAGATCGAAATCGAGACAGACACCTTCATCTCAAGTCATGATATATCCCAGGACCATGGAAAGGGGTTTCCCGTTCTTCGCGAGGGGTCCGGATGATCGGGCATCGTCCGGCGTACCAGCGTATCGGTAGCACTCCATCTGTGGGAGGTGTGAGCGACAGACTTTGAAGTCGCATTCAGCAAATTTTGCAGTGCGTTCGTCGTCGACGAAGCTGACGCGAAACATCCCCGTTCAACCTGAGGTAGGCAGCGTAGCATCCATTTGTAAGCTATGGCTGCAGCAGCAGTGCAGTGCTGTGGTGGCCCGCGGCCGCAAGTTCGTTAGCGAAATCGGCGACTGACTCGGTGGGAGATGACAGTGGGGAGGGGCTAAGTGATTTTTAGAGTTGCACGCCGTTAGGTCCTTTTGTTCCCCTTCTGCACAATCTGCTGTCGCTGGGCAGTATAAGCTCACTGAGAGTTCGCGCGGTTCATCATCTCCTGGGATGAGGCAGAGAAAAGAAGATGAGGCCGAGGTGCAGAGGCCAACTTTGACGGTACACGAGCCTGGGATGGGCACTTATATAAATTGGTCGGCGGATTCGGCGCAGCATCGGCGGGATGCCACCGCCCAAGAGTGCGCGCCCTACTCCGTCAGGGACGAGGATACGGATAATACGAGAAGATTCGGCCTAATTTGCGGGCAGCAGGTCGGGGAGACGGACCCCACTCCCCGGAAGCTTTGCCCGAACGGATTAGAGTTGGGCATTTAGACTTCACCCCTAAAACACAAGACCAGCATCAGGTTGCGTCGGGGGGCGCACTGCGTCCCTTGGGGTATAAACCGCGTATGCGCCCATCCGCGCACTCGGACGGACATCTGAAAATCTCCGTCTCGAGAAGAGCCTGTCTGTCCAATTTGCGAGAAGGGCCAGACAGCAAGAGAGAGAGAAGAGAGAGTGAGTGAGAGCGAGCGAGAAAGGAGAGAAGAGAGAAGCGACCAAGTTGGACGAAAAGGGAAAAGGAAGCGCGACGACGACACAAAGGAAGAGAAAGAGGTGGGCGACGATCAGTCGAAGGATTCAACGCTACGGAAGCAAACGCCGAAACCAACGAGAGACACCGACGAAGAAAACCGGTGAGGGCCAGCCAGTCAACCAACCAACCAGCCAGAGAGAAGACAACGACAAAAGAGAGGGATTAACGAGCGGTTAGTAGGGGTCTCTTCCCGCGGCGCTGGCACTCACCCCTCCATGACACATGCTTTTCTGGCCCCCAAACCCAACCACCCACCACCCTAAGCCCCCGAGCCCAAACACCGTCGCCCTGTCTGTTTGACGCAAGCAGCAGCGACGCTCAGCTGGCCTTTTCTTTCTTCTCCTTTACCCTTTTTTCTTAACCCGGTACGGTACGGTCTCCAACTTGCCCGCGCGCGAAGAAGGTGAGGGCAAAAAAAGAGGGGAAAAAGGAGGGACCACAGGCCACGGATATTTGGTTTCGTCCTTTCGTTCTCGGTTCCAACAGCTTGGGGAAAGCAAGAAAAAAAGAGTTGCAGGTCAAGAAACAATCCATAGGGTAGACCGCACGCCGAACAAGTCCGGTTTTATTTGTGCCAAGAGCGAGGAACCCCCCAAAGAGCGAAACCGAGGGATTCCTCACAGAGGAGAAAAAAAAAGTTATGGAGCAGAGCCCCGAAGCTCAGCAGTCACCGCCAGACGGACAAGCGGCCAACCGCGGGTCCGACGCACTTCCGAGGCCGCGTCCGTTGGCTTGCACTCCATGTCGGCGCCGCAAGGTATGTTGACGAGATCGTCCTCTTCCACCCCCTCCCCGTACCCATGGATCGCGTGGCCGCCTGCCCCGTCCGGCCCTGTGAATGGGTGAAGCTGAGGAGCCGGCCCATCAGGGGAGCGCGGCAATCCTCGCCGTGGTGGGTTTGGGGCGGGCACGCACGCGAACCCGTGAACCATTACCGGGTAGCTGGGTCAAACTGTCTAGGGGGGCAAAAGGCAGATTGATGGCAATGAGGGGAGAGGGCAGAAAACGGGGAACGGAGAATAACAGCTGGTCGTATGGACATCTTGGCTGACGGCGGACCGGTGATCCGGTACGGCATCTTACAGATTCGATGCGACCACAAGACGCCAATCTGTTCCAACTGCGTCAGGTATGGCTTGGAATGTACCTGGCCCGAAGGTCGACGCTCTTCAGGACGGCGTCAAAGACCGTGAGTTTGCTGGCCCCCCCTCTCTGCACTTTACTCTGCCCCCTTCCCCTTATTCGTGACGATCCTTGGCCTTACCTTACCATCCCGCGCGGCCTGCCGCCCTTCAACCCAGCGCGGGCGGGGCCGTTACCGCCGATCGTATCGGACACGGAACTTTGCTAATATTATCATACCAAGGCTCTATGAGGATGTCGTCACAAGGCTGGCACAGATGGAGAAGTTGGTGGAGGAGCTGCAGACCACGAACCACCAGGGGTCGCCACAGTCCAACGAGCCGGCGGGAGCATCGTCGTCCTCAGCTTCAGCGTCGGCACCAGTGCCGACGGCGGCGGCAGTAGCAGCAACATCAAGCGTCTCACCTCTGACAACACAGCCAACACCACCGGCGGCGGCGGTGGCGACGAACACGGCAAACACGTCCTCCGCAGGGGCGGCATCGGCTTCGGTCTCGGCCTCCCATTCCCCCCTGTCGAGACGGAAGGCCAGCAGCGCAAGCCCGTCGTCCGGGAACCCTGACACGTACCCGTCGCCGCCGTCCGCCAGCTCGTCGACCGGGGCGAGGCCGTATTATGTGGGGGCGCCTAGTGAGCAGGTGGTCGCTGCGGCAGGTAAGAATACCTAACCCCCTTGGGAATTCTCCAGAGCAGTTCGACCTGTTGTCCTGGCTAGCTACCAAGGTCCAGAGTCTGTCTGCTCATCGAGAATCTGGACAATCATGACAATTAAGAGAAAGACGACGGCTAACGTGGCTGACCTATCAGGCGCCTGTTCGCTGCTCTCACCGCAGGGCCTTGCGCAGATTGAGCTTCTCATCGGAGACTCACGGTTCAGCAACGCGCTCAACGGCCTGCACCCCAAATTTGATCGTCTCAGGCCGGAGCCGTGGCTGGAGCACGATGAGCTGAACCACCCGCTCCCTCCCAACCATGTCATCATGGACTGTGTGAACGGTATGATAGGCCTCATGAGCTTTATCGTGAGCACGACACTGACATGGCACATCACAGATTACATGGTGACGATGAACGCCGGCATCCGGCTCTTCCAAGAGCATGAAGTACGAGCAGCGTTACGCGCCTACTTCCAAGGCCAGCCCATTGCCGACCCAGGCTGGCGGATGGCCGTCAACTCCATCATCGCCCATACCCTTCGCAAGAGGAACCGCATGCGCAACAAGGAAGATTACGAGAAGTACATTCACAACGCCCTCGGCATGATCCCAAATGTAGTCCTCCGCACGCCGTCGCCGCTCACAATAGGATCGTTACTGTCAATAGTAAGCATCTCCCCAACTACCTCGTCGCGCCCCTTTTTTCACCTGTGCTGACCGCACCAAGATCCTCTATTACAGCTTCATGTCCGACAACCACATCGCCCTGACGCTCCTCGGCCTCACGGTCCAGCTCCTCTTGATGTCCGGCTACCACCGCCCCGAGCCGGACCTCGCCTTCGCCGACGCGTCAAACCTGAACCCGGTGGAACACCTACACCGCCGCCGCCTCTTCTGGCAGGCCTACATCCTCGACCACGACCTCATGCTGCGCCTCGGCAAGCCGCCGCTCATACACGACGACTTCCTCCTCGACCTGCCCGAGGAGCATCCCGCGGACGGCTACGCCATGTACTACTACCCCAACGACGTCACCCTCAACTTCTTCCTGCAGCAGGTCCGCCTCGCCCAGATCCAGGGCCGCATCTCGGCGGCGCTATACTCGCGCAGCAGCGTCCCGCCCGCGGAGCTTGAGTCCGAGATCCGCCGCCTCGACGCAGAGCTGCAGGAGTGGAGGGAGAGCATCCCCGAGATGATCCACCCGGAGCGCGTTGAGGCCCTCCTGGACGGCGACTTTGCCCGCATGGTCTGCCTGACGACGCTGCACTTTACATACTTCCAGCTCGTTGTGGCAATCCACTCGGCAGCCTTCCGCCTCCCAGCCCTCGAAGATCAAGAAGGCCTCGAGCAAGGCGACATCGGGCCCTCGTTGGCCCTTTGCGTCAGTGCGTCTCGAGCAGCCATCTCCCTGCTCAATTACCATCAGATCGAACACCCCTACACCCCGTAAGTTCCCCGTCTGCCACCCCGACTTCCCCTAACATCAAACTAACAAACCCCCTTAAGGTACCTCCTCTACCAAGTCGCCTGGTCCGTCGACATCCTCTTCGTCAACATCCTCCAGAACAAGACCTCCCCACGCGCCCGCCGCGACCTCGACCTCATCCGCACCGTCCTCACCTTTTTCGAAAAGTTCGACCCGGACCACGAGAAGGTTATCTCGTACCAGATCATCAGCGTCATCGCCGACGTCGCCGCCTCCGTCCTCGCAAACACCCCCACCCTGCCCCCGCACATGCTCCCCGTCGCCCGGCCCCAAACCTCCGCCCTACAGGCCCCGCCCGGGTCCCTCCGCGGCACGTCCCCCGGGACCGGCATGCAGCGCCAGTCCGTCGTCGCGGGGTTCCCGCCGGACACCCCGATGACGGGCACCACGGCGGCCTCCGTCCGCAGCGGAAGCATCAACGGCGGGGCAGACGGCATGCTGGGGCCCATGACGAGTCTGTCCATGTCGGACCAGCAACAGCAGCAGCAGGGTTTCGTCGACATGACAATGACCCCGCAGCCCGAGCCGCAGTTCTTCAATGGATTCATGGACATGGCGGACTGGCGGCTGCCGATGGAGTATCAGCCGGAGCTGTGGCAGTTCGACAGCGTTCTGGACAACAACCGCTACAACCAGAACTGAGGCTAGGCCAGGCGGGGGTGGATACCTTTGATTTTGATTACATTTACCGGACGATTCGATAGACGGCAGAGGGGTTCAGCCTTTCGGACCGGCTGCTGGGCGTGGCCCCATTTTAATCGACTTGAAAACGTAGGCTTGGCGTCATCCGACTCCACCAAGGCACCGACGATTCCCCCTTCCGGTCGGGACGTCCAGACAAGCGTCCCGCCGGCTTTTCCAATTTGGATACCGAGAGGCTCAGTCTTAGTACAGGCTTTCACCTATTGTAGGTTAAGGGGCACACGACACAGAGCGCGCGACTCATCGGGAGGGACAGAGGAGACGGCGTCGTCGGGCGAGGCACGCGACTCGAAACCCGAACCTCGCTCCCGGCGCTCTGGATTGGACATCGATCTTTCTCCAAAACGGGATGAACGACGTAATCGCGCGTCTGGTTACAGAAGGTCTCGCAGCGAACACGGTGCCGAATTCGGGGCAAACGAACACGAGGAGTTTTCAGAGGTTCGGACGATGTCAACTGGAGAGGAGTATTCGGATAGACTGGGGATTTGGGGGCATATGGGGGAGAGGAAAAATACTAACGGCATCCCGTTGTTCTGTGTCTCAACACGCCTTCACACTCAAACGTACAGATACCATGTTACATGCGACATCAGGAGGAATTGAGCTCTTCTATTTTGCTTTACTGCGTTTTCCTGTCTGTCTCTCTCCTGAAGACTGTCTTGCTGAGTGAAACCTTTCCTGCCCTGCCTGCCCTACGAAGAGGAGAGTGATTCAAAACAGCAAAGACGAACCAACACAACGGTTCCCATCCATCTCCCCTGGCGTCTCACATGTCAATCTCGTCCTGCATCTCCACGGGAATAAGACCTTGTCGCCAAAAAAAAAAAAAAAAAAAAAAAAAAAAAAGGGACGGGACAATCACCCCTGCCTGCTGTTCCCACAGCCGCTGCAAAGTACGCTACCGACGCGAAAACACCATCCGGGGGCGGCGCGGGCGGTGCTGCTAAACGAGAAAGAAAACCCCATACCAGACCCCTTCCTGCATGACGTCAGTGCACAAATACCCGGACACTTCGGAGCAGCCATTGCCCTCTGGACTGTCCTTTCCATGGGACGACTTACCTTGACTTTCCAAATACAATGGCCGACGACGACCGAGCGAGAAACGAAAGGGGATAAGAGACATGGGACGCTCGCCGTGGCGCTTTCTTGAGAATTGAAACCTAAACTCTTTTCTGCGATGGCAGCAAAACACTCCGGAATGTTTAGACCTCCTCCCTAGGGCGATTTGTTGTCTTATTCCTTTTATTCCCCTTGCGCTCGAAATTCCTCAAGCCATGCTCCGGTGAGAGAACATCTATATTCAGACAACCGCCCTCGCTCTTTATCCTGAGGTTTTCACGAGGCATCGGGCACGCCCTCATCGACGACGGTCTTCGCCAACCAGCGGCCAGACAGGCCATTGACAGGAGCAGGAACCTCAAACTGCCATCACGTCTGCTTCTCGCATTCACACATCGGCCACACAATGTTTGAGAAGACACCCCCGCCAAAGGACGACAGACAACGCCAATCGGCCACGAAGCACCCGCCAAAAACCCTCCGCGAACGCTTCCTCCACACGCTGCCCTACTACACAGGGCCGTACGGCGTAGGCTTCCTCGAGATCGAAGCCCCGGCCCGCCGCCCGCGCACCGTCTCCCAGCTCAGGCGCGACAACGTCCCGCTGCTGAGGCTCGACACCGTGCTCTTCGCCGTCTTCTACCCGTGCACTCTCAAGACCAAGGTCGAAGGCGGCGACCCGGTATCCAGGCACGGCCGCAAGGCTAGCACGCCCACCGCCAACGGCAACAACAATAACAAAAACAACGCGGCAAAAGACGGTGAAGACAGGGAAAAGACGACTAAGACTTGGAAGCCTTCGCGTGTGGGATGGCTCCCGCGTCCGAGGCTGAACACCTGCAAGGGATATGCCAACTTCGCGAGCATCCCAGAACTGCCGGTGACGGCGTACATCGCTGCGACCACCATGTTCACGAAGCTTCCTGCGCTTAGGAACGCCAAGCTGGCGGAAAGCTGGCCGGAGGACATGCTGACGGACGAGGGCCCTGCAGGCGAGGCCGCGAGAAATGAGGAGTGTAAGACATCAACAAAACCGAAGTTTCCCGTCATCATATTCAGTCACGGGTTGGGAGGATCGAGACTGTGCTACAGTGCCATCTGCGGGGAGCTGGCGAGCTACGGCTTCATTGTGGTAGCCATGGAACATCGGGACGGAAGCGGAGCCAGGACAATTGTCAACATCCCCGAGAATCGAGAGACCTCCGACAGCGATTCTTCGTTTGCGCAGGCCAACGGCAAGCACGTTCCCGCCAACAAGATATGGAAGCGCAGCAAGGGAACCAGTGAGTATTACTGCGTGGACTACCTTTTCCCAAAGGACAACGCCCAGGACACAGCACCGAACAGTGCCAAGGGAGTCGATGTGGTGCTGCGCAGTGCGCAGATCGAAATGCGAATGTCGGAAATGGAGGAAGCCTACTGGATACTCGAACAGATTAACGAAGGTCGCGGTCACGAGGTCGAGGCCATGAATCTAAGAAGAGAGGGGAATGTGGCGTCCAGCTCTAAGGGTCTCACTGGGATCGACTGGGCGGATTGGAAGGAGAGGATGTTCCTCGAGAACGTGACAGTGATGGGCCATTCATTTGGCGGGGCAACAACAGTTGAGATGCTGCGGACAGAGTCGCTCGGCTGGGTAGGTCAAGGCATCAT